AAATTGATGTACTTTCAAGGTTTTGCACCTCTCAAGTACAAAGAAGAGAGAAAAACAAAAGCACCCCGCTAAAGTTTTTCACAAAACTAGCGAAAGCGTTCTTCAAACTCACGTTAGAAGAATGTAAGATGGAAAGAAACCTCACCCACACGTTCCCCAATCCCGCAAGATTGCAAGAAGAGTTGAATAAAGGAAGAACAATGAAATATAAAATAAATCACGTTTTTGAAGCAATAGCTTAGAAAAACTAATCACCAATGTTTATTTTCAGCATATTAAGCCCTTTAAATAGGCCTTACAATGAGTAAAATTGGTAAGGTTAAGGAAAACTAATCCTAATTAGACTAGAATAAGAATAAGGCTAAGAAAACCTATCCTAACTAAAATAGGAAAAAGAATTCTAGTAGGAATGGGATACCAACTAACAATCCTAGTTTGACTAGAACTACAAATATAACCCTACTAAAACAAAAATTAAATTCCTAGGAAACAAGAAATAAGAAATCCCAATCTTTAAGGAAAAGAAATCCTAATCTTGAATGGATTCTTAGACTTCTTCAATTTCTTGAAATTCTTGGGCCTCAATTGGACTAAGGCTAATTAGTGTAAGCATTTTAAATTCATGGCCCAATTCTCTAAATCCATTGGCACCTTCATGAGCCCAACAAGCCTCCATTGTTGTAGAAAACATGGCCTCTATATGTTCATCAGAACTACCCACATGTCCCATCCAAATACATGTAGCTCCTCCCCCTGTTGGCTGCTTGTCTGGTGTTGTACTCATTTTCGTACAATTGATTTCTCCGTTTACACTGCTGTACGTTCTCACCGGAGCTTCACACCAGATCTGAATCTCGAAGACTATCCCTTCACATTTTATTTTCACTGTTTTTGGTATTGTAGATCCTTCTCCTCTCACCTTTATTCTTGCCCATTTCAAATGATTTTTTAGTTCTATTTCCTCCTCAGTTTCAATCCAGGCACCACAAAATTCCCCAACTTCTTTGAATACTTTTTGAGACCATAGATGTAGTGGAAGCCCTACTAGTCTAATCCATACTTGATTCATCTTTTTATTTCTTGGAACAGATCCCACTATCGGATTCCACAATTGGAGCTTAACTTTGTGTTTCTTCCAATACCATTCGCTTCTCAGTACATGGTCGGCGATTAGTTTCAAAGAGAATTCCAAGAGAAACCTATTCTGGTGCATCTCGTAAATGTTGATTCCATGTGCTTGCTTCCATAGATTTGCTGACCATTTACGAACTTCCGATAAAGTTGCAATTTCGGAGCTTTCTTCTGGAAAGAATCCCACCAGGCACCTGTCTAGCAAAGCATTGTGTGTTAAATCTCCAGAAATGTGAATAATGTTTCCTTCTTGTTGGACCTCCGCTTCCTTCATTTCTTATGATTTCTGACTGTGTTTGAGTACAGAAGTCCTTCTTCAATGACTTTTGGAGCACTAATGGTATTCCTCCGTACCTCGCCATTAATGAACCTTTCTATTTTTGCTGCAATATCTGACCAACCTGAATTGAATTCCGCCTCTGGAACAATAATAATTGATCTTCCCCTGCCTTGGATTTTAATGATGGTTATATAACGACCATCTTTGTTGTAGTTCTTTGCACAGAAAATTTCTGAGAAATGATCCTTGATTTTCCATCTTTTCACATGATTTCCTTTCACCTTCGAAGCTTCCTTTAGATTTTCGCATAACCACACCATTGTCTTTCTGCTTAATGTAGTCCTTCTGATTAGGTTCCTTCCTCGTTCTGTCCATTCAAACCATTGTTCAGCATTTGTTGAGCATCTCTCAATTTCATATGACTTGAAGCCCATTGCAAAATAGATGATATTGTTCTCCCTCATTGTATGATTTTCCCGTTAGACAGGAAGTGCAACTGAAATTATCAGCAGTGAAAGCTTTTAGAAAGTCGCCGTAATCTTGTCTTCGATCTTCGGAAAATAGAAAAGTTATAGAATTTTGGTGAAACTGTAATGGGAATGGTCGGAGAAGTCTGGAGAGTAGGCTGGGAGAAGAAAAAAAATATTGAAAAAGTGGTCCGGGAAGTGGTTTTCTATCGCCGGAGATTTTTGGCGAAAATGGTATGGGTCTGGTCGGAAAAGGCTGGTGAGGGGCTGAGTGAAGAAAAAAATTTGAAAAGTGGTCGGAAAAAGCCACACGCGCTGGCGCGTGGCTTAGATCTCGCCGGAGAAAAGTGGGTCTGCTTCACGCGTGGGGGCGCGTGGATGATTGGCTGCCGGAATTACTTACTGGGGTTTGGTCGCCGGGGGGTTGTTTCTTGTTGAGGGAGATGAGGTTGTCGGAAATGGTACGTAGGAAAGCATCTCTGGTAGTTCACATTATACTGTTCTAGGGAGAGTTTTTGACTATTAATTAAATTTCAACAGTTTTCATAATGATACTTAAGCAAAGTTTTTTGTTCGGTGTTTTTAAGAAAGCAGATCAATTCTGAGCACCAACTTGTTTGATTTGTCATGCGCCATAAGTCATAATAGTTCAGTGTTCGGGGAAGGGGGGGGGGGATTGGCGTGAATGCAACTTGCCAGATACGAGTTGTTGACTACCCTTGTTAACCTAATAGCTCTATGTTTGATAGTTCACTACAGTCTGAGTGGCATGCTTTAAGCAGCCTTATGTTGTGAGGGATAAAGGGCTTGCATGGTTGTTCCCGTTGAACCTCTGACAGTCTGTTTGATTGGAGGAAGAGGAGAGGAAGATAAGGAAGAGAATTTTGACTGATTTTACTATCTTCCAGTGAAGCATTGATGATTTACTTCCCATTGTTTGGTATAGTTGGAAGATAGGTAAAACTGATATCCTTATTCCTGTCTGTTCAATGTTGGAAGGATTTAAAAGGCAACATATGAGGTATCCAACTACTCCAATTTTACTTCCTTGTGGACCAAGTGAATGTTTTCTATCCTTACTTCCATTCATCTGACATCTCCCCTTTTAACTTCAACCAAATCAGACATTACATGGAATTACATGCCTCTACTTCAGCCTAGCTTCCATAAGTTGCTCCTATCCCAAAGGTAGCGGGTGCTTTGATGTTTTCTGAGCATTTGCCCTCCTAATTGAACGAAGAGGTTGCCTTTGAGATGTTAGGCTCAACCTTGTTTGGGTGGAAACCTGAAGTCAAATCGTTTGCTGTCCCGCTGTCGAGAAAAAAAATCCATCTAAAACTACTATATATCCTTAGTATGAATGCTCCCTTGGTCCATTGGAGAACCAACAGTGGCACCACTCTTGTATAGGCCCTCACGAGTACCTGTGAGGTTCTTAACTGCCATAATAGTGTGTGGCATTTTGGAATTAATAATTGCTATACACGTTTCACATTCCTCGAAGTCAGCACATATGTATGATAACCCCGTTCATCCATGCTAAAGGGCCTCACTATAACCTGTTAGCTCATCTCATAATGATGCTTCTGATCCTGTAGAAGTCATGGATTCATCTTTATCATCTTGCCCTTAATCGCGATATAGATTTTCATCTAATGTGCATCTTGTCCGTCAAGTCTGCAGTTGCTAGTGCAAGTTAAAACTAAGTTCCGCAGTTGCTAGTGCAAAGTTGAAACTAAGTACTCCCTCCGTTTCAATTTTATGTGACGTAGTTTGACTCGGCACAGAGTTTAAGAAAAAAGAACTTTTGAAATAAAGGCTTAAAGGGTAAAAACTTTGTGGGGTCATAACAATTGTATATGGCTATAAAAGTTTCTCATTAAGGGTAAAATGGAAAGTTTAAAGTTAAGTTGTCTCCAAATATAGAAATGTTCCATTCATTTTGGAACGAACTAATAAGAAAAGTGTGTGATATAAATTGACATGGAGAAAGTAATAGTGAAATAGTGATAAGATGAAAAGCGTGAATAGGAATTGAAAATGGAAAGGAAAAGAGGGGCATGAAGAAATTGAGGTCATCCGTACTAGCAATTTGTTATTAAAGTAGAATAAACTTATTGAATAGTTTGTTTGTAGTGCTGTCATCTGGTGGCCACTTATCTTTGATATATCTAGAGCTCCATAAAAACTTTAGGAGCTATTTGAGCAAACAATTGCATGGATATCCAACTATTCAAACTGAAGGGAAGCAGAAAAGTGTTCAAGAGTTGATCCAAAACTATCTAGACCTAGAGTTTTATGTCCTACTGTAGGAAAATTTAAAACATTCTATGAGGAGGTGTGAACGACTGGCTGTGGTGGGCACGAGGAGAGGTAGAAGGAGACCTAAGAAGTATTGGGGAGAGGTGATCAGGCAGGACATGGCGCGACTTAGGATTACTGAGGACATGGCCCTTGACAGGGAATTGTGGAGGTCGAGGATTAAGGTTGTAGGCTAGGGGGAAGTTGTGAGTATTTCTACAGCGCACTAGAGTGAGACTAGCCAGTTAGGAGTTAGTCTTAGGATACTACTGGTCAGTTACTGATGCAGGGCGTTATCTGCTGGATATTATTATATCTTCCATCTTTTTCGTACTTCCTATATTTCTTATATTGCTGTTATTTTTATTTTATGTTATGTTATGTTATTTTATGTTATTTTATTATGAGTCTATTGATAGTACTAATATATCGTCTCTTGTCGCTGTGTTGAGCCGAGGGTCTCCTGGAAACAACCTCTCTGCCCCTCGGGGTAGGGGTAAGGTCTGCGTACATATTACCCTCCCCAGACCCCCTTTGTGGGATTATACTGGGTTGTTGTTGTTGTTGTTGTTGTTGTATTTTATTTACAATGTCTTGACTTGAAAATTCTAAAATATATTGCTCTGTTTTGTTCAAAGTGGGATAATTCAATACTTTAGTTGGTAGAGCTACTAAAGTCTGATCTATCAGCAATTTTATATGATAGTGATTTGTGTTTCCAACTTTCTTGTTTCACTTGAAGATTTATAACTTAATATTCATTGATAGTGCCTCTGAAATTTATCAGAGAAAACTGATATTTGGGCTTTCTTTTGCTGTAGGCCTGTGATGATATCTGATGCTATGCCAAGAGGTCGCATCTATCATGAAACTTATGGATGCCAAATGAATGTCAATGATATGGAGATTGTTTTATCTATCATGAAAAATGCTGGATACACTGAAAGCGTGGAAGTCCCAGAGAATGCTGAGATAATATTTATAAATACTTGTGCTATAAGGGACAATGCAGAACATAAGGTCTGGCAGAGGCTCAATTATTTTTGGTTTCTTAAGAGACAATGGAAGAGCAATGTTGCGATTGGAAGGTCACAGTCCACCCATCCTCCCAAAGTAGTTGTGCTGGGGTGTATGGCCGAGAGGTTGAAGGACAAAATATTGGATTCAGATAAGATGGTTGACGTGGTTTGTGGACCTGATGCTTATCGAGACTTGCCACGCCTGTTGGAAGAGGTGGACTATGGTCAAAAAGGTATCAATACTCTACTTTCTCTTGAAGAAACTTATGCGGATATTAATCCAGTTCGCATCTCCAAAAATTCTATATCTGCATTTGTATCTGTGATGAGGGGTTGCAATAATATGTGCTCATTCTGCATTGTTCCCTTCACTAGAGGGAGAGAACGGTCTCGCCCAGTGGAATCAATTGTGAAAGAGGTCGCTGAACTTTGGAAAGAGGGAGTCAAAGAGGTTACACTTCTTGGCCAGAATGTAAATAGCTATAATGATACATCTGGAGTTGAAAATCCGGCTGAACCAGCAGTCAGTTGGGAACTTAGTGATGGATTCTCTAGCATGTGCAAAGTAAAACATGTGGGTCTACGGTTTGCTGATCTCCTAGATAGACTTGCGACAGAATTTCCTGAAATGCGGTTCAGATATACTTCCCCACATCCTAAAGATTTTCCAGATGATTTGCTGTACGTAATGCGCGACAGGTACAATATCTGCAAAAGCATTCATCTGCCAGCACAGTCAGGCAGCAGTGCCGTGCTTGAAAGGATGCGTCGTGGATATACTCGAGAAGCATACTTAGATCTTGTGAAGAAGATAAGAGATATAATACCTGACATGGGCATAAGCAGTGACTTCATATGTGGTAAGATTGTTATCCATTGTGTTTTCTTAATTACTGGGACCTCACTTAAGGCTGAACATGCATGCTAAATATACTATAATCGGACATGGTCTGTTACTTTGGGTTTTCGGGAAATATTTGTGTCTTTGTTTTCTGGTTATTTTATGATACTTCATCTTTTTACTTTATTCCTTTTTTAAGAATGCTAGTCTTTTTCTGGGAGACTTTGCTTTCTCATATTGATTTATCTTAGATTAAGATGTAGAAATTATTTGACTATTCAAAGAGTTGCTACAGTATTTTATATTTACATAAGACGAGCTAATACTTCTGCTTCCCGATTTCTCACATTGAGAAATTGATGTAGGATTTCTTGAATTATTCTAATGTCATGAGAGGACAAACTTTTCATAGTTAATAGGCAGATGACATTATATGGGAGCTATACGATATGACTTATTTGGCTCTTAATTTGACACATTACTTTCAGGTTTCTGTGGAGAAACGGAAGAGGATCACGAAGACACACTAAGCCTCGTAAAGGCTGTTTGTTATGATATGGCATACATGTTTGCTTACAGCATGAGAGAGAAAACACATGCCCACCGAAAATATGTTGATGATGTTCCTGATGATGTCAAGCAAAGGAGGCTCACAGAATTAATTGAGGCTTTTCGTGGGAGTACAGGTCAGAACTATGACTCTAAAATTGGCACTCTCCAACTTGTGTTAGTTGAAGGGCCCAATAAGAGAGCCCCAGACACAGAGTTAATTGGCAAGAGCGACAGAGGCCATAGGGTATCATTTACTAACCTGCCTATCCCAGATAAGGTTGATAATAATGGGAAGCGAAACCCAAAGATTGGTGATTATGTTGAAGTGCACATAACAAAATCTACAAGGGCATCACTGTTTGGAGAAGCACTTGCTATAACTAAATTGAGCTCATTCTACAGCTCTTCACATGAAGAAGCTGTTGCGTTTGCCAGCAGAACTTAAGCTATTATTAAAGCTTTTGTACTACAGTTTGCTCTTCCATCTTGCCTTTCTTTTGAAATCACAGAGTTGCTACGTATTGTCAATAGAGTAGCATTCATACTGGTAGCTTAAAGATTTTTTGCTTTCATACTGGAGTTTATTCTGGCTGTTTAGCTCCGGCCACATAGATCAGTCATCTTTGAGCTGGTTAATTTTCAGGATCCGACGTACTTGCTCAACTGTTACAGTGAGGAGAATCTGGCTTATTAAGATAAAATATATTTTCAGTCATGAACTCTGAGCCTCTTGTTTGCTCAATATTGATAATCTTTTGCTATTCACTAGTTTGGAGGGAAGTTCAAAAGCTGTGATCTCAGTAATAGTTATGGTAACCATAACCACCCTCTTCACATGTTGAAACTTTGTCTCGCCATTAACAGTGCCTTACAGACAAAAATTAAATATTCGTTAAAGTGAACTATGCTGTCTTCACACACACACTGATAACCAAATTTGCCTTGAAAGTCCAGTATCAGGGTAGTTTAAAAATGCATTAAGAAATTAAATTCGACCAGGTCTATTCACTCTGCTGTCAAATATTTGTTCTGTTGTGTAACAGATCATTAATCAGTGGAAAAAGATGTTCAGAAATTTTGAGGAGAATAGTAAACTGTATGTCATACAGGTAAAATATAGCTCACTCGAAACAAGATGGAGCAATGTGGACATTTATATGTACGAATTTGTATATATTATTAGTTGGTAGTGATAAATAATGTTACAGTGAGGTTCGCATCTTCCGGTCAACCGTATCTCTGGGAGAAATTCAAAAATAGCCAGATTTACAAGTGGTCATTCAAAAATAGCTACAGTTTCAAAAGTCATTGAAATTTAGCCACTTTTCATGTAAAGATAATCTACACGAAAACACTATTCAAAATCCGAAAAATACTCCAGCATAATATACTGGAATTCCAGTATAATATACTGGAACTCCTGTATAATATACTGGAGTTCCAGTATACTTTGCTGGAACTCCTGTATAATATACTGGAGTTCCAGTATACTTTGCTGGAACTCCAGTATATTATACTGGAGTTTGGAGTTACAGTATACTTTGCTGGAACTCCAGTATCCAACAAAGTATACTGGAACTCCAGTATATTATACTGGAGCCAACAAAGTATACCGGTCCAGCATACTATGCTGGAAGTTCATATACATGTGCACCGAACTCCAGTATATTATGCTGGACCGGTCTCTGTTGCAGCAAAGTAGTGGCTATTTTTCAATGACTTGGCAAACACTGACTGTTTTTGAATGACCAGTCCGAAAACTGGCTAGCCCGTGCTATTTTAACTCGTATCTCCTGCGGAGATTTGTAGGCCCACTTGGAATCTATCGACGCCTAACACAACCATTTGGAACCTACCTACACCTAGCACGATACTTCAAATATATTTGCACTTAGTGTATGAGCCAAAACTTATCTTTGATATGATTAGACCCTATCAGCATTAAAAAGGGCCTTCAAGGGCTTCCGCATGTCCCCAGTATGACTTCGACAAAGGTCTGCCCAAGGTCGAAGTGGTCTCATAAGAGATGAAAGGCGGGGTCGAAGAGTCATCGCAGATCAAGGTCGAGGACGATCATTCATCTTAAACAGAGAAATAACAACTAGTTTTAGGATAAGACACTAAAGAAAATATTCCAGTGGATATTCTCCATACTTGTATTATTAGGACTTTTAGGTATATGTTCAATTATAAATAGAAAGAGACAGAACGATAAGGGACATGAGATATTCACTTGTAAGAGAACACATTGATACTCTCTGTAGAATCTTGCTTTATTGCACACATATAAACTATACCTTTTTTTTGAGATTCTTGTCTAACTTCTCCCCACGATCCAAGAACGATCCAAATATTCAAAGGCTTATCAATCATTCATCATTGTCAGAAAGAATATCCACGGATCTCACCCTTTCTCGGGTGACTCACATGTTCTTATTTACTTAAATGCAATTCATTGTTATTTATTGTTATTTAATGCTATCTCCTTTCTTTTTAGGTCATTCAATATTGCTAGTGTTATCGTCATTTATTGCTAACTAGATAATATACGTATCATCTTACTACAAAATCGGTTAAAATATATTTTGGACATTAATATTGGCTAGGATTGACTCTATTTTATTAAATCTAGTTGTTTAAATCAGATCTAAATTTTGGTTCAAACAGTTTGGCGCCGTTTGTGGGGATTTCTTAGCCGATCTTTTAGCTTTCATAGGTCTACAACCTATGTGATTTTCTAACCTAGCGAGACACAAAGCTTTTCTCCTTTTTGCTCATATAGAAATTCTCATAGCAGGTAACCAAGGAAACGAAACTAGGGCGATAGGTGAAATCTCCAGTAACCTTGTGAACGCTATCAATGATCTATGAGACACTAGGCGACGATGTGAAGCCCACTGTCTCCCCCAGGAATGAGAGGTGGCCTTCCCCTCACTGCAACACAACGAAACCAAATGAAAAAGGGGCCTCCACGTTCGCAGGATAAGGAATACCACCTGCCATGAAAAAGCTCCTCGAAGTATGGCTGACTGCTACCTTAGTAAGCGTGCTCAACAAACAAGCCCCATGCACGACTGTAGAAACCACGAGAGCCCACGTGGTAAACGAGGAGATGAACAAGGCAATCAACCAGACCCTCCAATGCTAGGTATAACTCACAATGTTACTGATAATGCAGGTGAAGGCGTCCTCGCCGCTATTTTGAAATGAATGGAAAAAATGTATAATGAAAACAAAACGCTCAGAGACCAAATGAAAGAACACCAAGAACAAGTCAAAAAGATATCGGGCACCCCCAAGCTAATGCCGAAATGAGACGCCGACAGATTTGTAGAACAACTGTATAGCGAGAAAGCGGCCCAACATGCCATACCAAAAACCTTTAAAATGTCATCATATCTCAAGATATACGACGAGACAACCGATCTTGAAGACCACGTGACTCATTACGTCACCGCCGTGAAGGGCAACGACCTCATCAAGGAACAAGTGTCCTCCATTTTGCTAAGAAATTCGGCAAAACCCTCACTGGAGGGGCATTGACATGGTATTCATAGTTTCTAGCCCGCTCCATAGAAACGTTTAAAGAAATAGACGATAAGTTCGTGACGACGCATGTTGGTGCCAAGAAAGCCGAAACAAGAGTAAACGATATCTTCGCCATCAAGCAATCCCTAGGAGAGGGGCTAAGGGACTTCCTCGCCCAATTCAATAGGGTGATGATGACCTTACCAAATGTGTACGAAGGGATGGCGGTTGCGTCCTTTCAGAACAGCTTGAGTAGAGGAGGCTCAAGAACGACTAGAAATTTGCTGAGCCGATTAATGAAGTACCCTCCAACAACTTGGGATGAAATCCATAATTACTATGCCGAAGTCCGAGCAGATGATGATGACCTCAATGGACCAACTCGACGGCTC